CAAATGTGCAATACTCAACATATGGAGGAAGTCTAAAGCCTTTCAAACCACTTAATGAGAAAGCTACGGATATCAACAGCAGAAGGAAAAAATCTAAAACAGGAGGAAGATGCCTATATCCTACCATGCTAATTTATATTGTTAGAGTGGAAAGTAAATGGCAATGTTAGCTATGCTGAGGATTTTCAAAAGTTGTATTTATTTTTGGGTTTCTTTCTAAAATAATGTTCCAACAAATATGCAGCACGCTGTGTTTGTGGCACTGGTAGTGTGTCCATCACCATGGCACCTGAGCACTCAAGCAAATGATTAACCATCAGAGCAAATGAAACAGAAGCTAAGAGCCATCAGGCACTGTGACACGCTTTTCATAGACCTTATGTATGCCAGTACATCTCTGTCTGGACTTTTACTCCTTCAGGCTTTCCACTATCCTATCTTTCCTGTTCTTATGATAAACAGGTCTTTTTTTTCAAGCAGTGATAAGGGTGCAGAGATCTCAGACTGGCTTTGGAGAAAGAAGGAGAAAAACCAACAAAACAATACACATTTTCATCAGGAAAACATTGCTTAAGGATACAGTAAGGAAAAAAAATTTTCGTTTGCACAAACCAATTATGAATCAACAAACTATGTTATGTCTGCCCTGCCATCAGCTTAACCCTTAAATTACTTCTCTGAAGAAGGAAAACAAGTCTTTCCTCACTGAGGGTCAATATGATCTTTCAGGAGTCTGATGCAGACCATACTTGAACAATATTGTTGGCATTATCTAATAATAGTGAAAAGAACATATAAAAAACATATGGCTCTGTGCCTTCTTCAGAAAGTCCAGAGACTGCATCAGGCCCTCCCCACACTTCAAATAAGCAGTAAGTTAATGACAACTCCACTGATGTTTGTTTAACATATGTGCATATAACTACTGTTAGCTTTTTCTGGCTTGGGATGCTTAAGCAGAGACCTCTGGGGTTTTAGAAAAAAAAAATAAAAATCTTCTGTTGGATCATCTACCCCTTGTTGTTTTGTTTTGTACAAAATCTCTGAGGGGCACAGGAAAGCAGAGGGCCTTGCATGCAGGCCAACTTTACAAAGGTTAGATCCTTTCAGTACTGGAGAATTGTGCAGCTATAATACAACACTCACTGAAGAAGTTTCCTGTTTTCCATCACTAATCAAGGTACTGACACTGCATTCTAATTAAATTGGTGTCACATGGAGTTTTTCCTCTTCACTGCTTCAGACTTAGGAGGTAGTTACATCCTCTTCATTCCAGTTTATCCTTTAAAGACAAGTAAGTTTTGGAGACAATGCCACATTGCCAGCAATGAAGACTGAAGTGCTCACTTCCCAGGGCAGGTACAATATGCTGTGCTACCACTGTGCCTCAGCAGCAGTTTTGAAGCCCATAAGGAGCACTGCACCGCCCACCTTTATTTGACTGTGAAACTCTGTATTAAAGTTCACTCTAAGCATCAGTCTGATTCTGTTACCTCTCCTGTGTCTAAATTATATCCATCACTGTCATCTCTAAAGATTCAGATCTTCTGTGCACTTCATCAGGCATTATAATCGAAGCTAATGAAAGATATGTTTGTTTAGCTGTTGTAAATGGCTTTGAAGATCTCGGTTTCAGCAAGGGTGATGAATTAAGGATGTCAGCTGGGCAAACAGTTTAATTTTGAATGAACTTAGCTAAAATGGATTACTGAAAAAACAATATGGATTTTTCAAATTCATATTATTTCACATACTTTACCAGTAAATATTTTACCCCTTCTTGCCATCTGACTCACCAAGCATAAACTGAAAGAATCGGCAATGACATTCAGCTTCTCAAATATGAGACTAACTTTGGTGACTATAAACAGGTGTAAGAAGCCACTTTTTGACTGCAGCAGGGAGTACAGCCCTCAAACAATTTACCCCTCAGCAGACTAAATTTCTGCATAATAGCAATTCTGTAAAGCAGCCTGAACGTGGTAATCAAAGTGTTTTATAACAAAATTTAGAAAGCAACAACTGCAAAGGACTATTCCATAACACAGTTATTTATTGGAAGTACCTAGTTTTTTATTCTCCCTGGTCCATTTTCAATGAATTAAAATAATAACTTAAGGGGAAAAAAAATATCTTAAAATAGCCATGGGCTTTTTTTCCTCTCTCAGGTAATTTGGAGTCAGGAAGAATCCAAAATAACAGCATGATTGTTGAAAATTACAGGGTAGGGTTGGAAATGTCTAGAGGTCATCTAGTCCAACCTCATGCTCAAACCAGTGCCACCTTAGAACAGGTCACTCAGAATTAAAAGTGAAAGAAAATAACTTAAAGAAAAAAAAGAAAGAAAAATAATTTTAAAAATTAAGTCTTTTACAACAGAAGGGGGGGGGGGAAGCAAGGAAATATTTTCTTGAAACATATAGCTCTTTTTGGGTTGTTTGTTAGTAAATATGACCAACTTGGAAAATACATTCAAGCTGCCTCCTTTGGTTGACCTTCCTGTCTTGATGCAGGTAACATTTAAGCTCAATGTGTGGCAAACTCCAACTCAGTTGCCAGTGCTACTCTGCCACACTGCTGGCCAGAAAAGGCTAAGAATGCTGCAAGTTCAGCTCCAGTGACAGAGAAAATGCTCCATAACATTCATTAGCAGTCCCCTCCAAGATAATTAAGGAAGGGAGCCAACAGCTGCTGAGGAGGGTTCCACCCCGTCTTTCCCTGGGAAAGCGAGGCCTTTAGGGCAGGGCCTGGACTCTACAGCAAAGAAGAATAGGGTGGGGAAACCTTGCAAGATCTCAGTGAAACCCAGATGACTCATCAGAAAGTAAAACGCTTCTATTTTGGCAAGAGGCTGAAATAGCAGCCCTGGGTTGTGCTGCAACACAGCAATAAATGACCCTGAGCGCTTGGGACAAACTCCTGTGCACACTGATATTCCCAGCAGTAGGGGCTATTTCACATCTCATTAAACGAAGAGGTTTACATGACAATTAACACATTAATTAGCACCATCTTTTTCACAGTTGGAATTTCGGCTTGAAATTTCAACATTTTTAGACAACTGTTTTGTAAGTGAAAATGAATACTTTTTTATGACTCAAGGTCATAAAAAGGTGACACTGAAGGTGACAAGGACTCTTGTGCAGAACTGGCATAGAAGTATATTTGTCTGTGTACTGAAGGACACCACAACCAGTCGATGGCCTTTCCCATAACTTCTGTGCAAGGAGGGCCTCCCTGTACAATCTCCACCCTGCCATTCAAAGCCTGGCCCTCGGCCTCAGCAAGGTGCCAGGCTGGACACTTCATAAGCTGACCATAGACAAGGCTAATGTACCCCAAAGTCACACAGGGGCAAAGCAAAGCCTGGATTTCAACAAGCAGTAGCTCCCATTCCTCAGCCCCAGCCGCTGACCTGTATGGCTCCCCACTACAACAATCCTTTCGACTGTACCCGTAGAGATATGACCTGCGGGAAACCTCTCCAGCAAACATCAAAAAGCAACACTGCTAATTTCACTGAAAATAGGTAACAGCTATAAGAGAATGTTTATTGCCCAAGAGCTTCACATTTTAGACACAGAGATAGTAACTTCTGCGAGGAACCACTTTAAAGAAGAGTTGGCATACGGATAGGTATCCTTAAACTGCATGTATATTTCTCTCTGAGGGTTTTGTTCAATACTCTTTTGTTCAATAATCTTTAATTTCTATTTTCTTTTGAGAGAATGGATTTGCAAGTATACAAGAAGACACAGAATACTGGAAATGGAATTAAGGGAATTACAAATTGGAAACTGGAACTCGTAGCTTTCGAGACCAGGTGGATTCTGATATTCATGGGGTCCATTCCTATCAGATGGATGTTGCCAATCCATGCAAAATAGTGATATGGTTTGTATATGTTATCTTTCACCTCCCTCGGGTACATACTGTAAGGAAGTATGTATACACTAACAATAATCATATTAATATTTTACATGTTTTGGCACTCAAGGCACAGATAAATCATTGTGTCACAGCCTTACCTATCATACCACTTACAAAATAAATCCATGCTCAGGAGGAACACCAGAAAACTTTTCCTTTGATTAGCTTTTCAAAGCTGATGATAGTTTTTAGAATATGATTTATTTCTTTTATTTATCACCCTGCCTTGTTTCAGATGGGTACTGTTTTACTGACCTCTAGATACCCTTGCACTTGCTCTGTGATATCCCCAGAATGTCAATGCTTTGATTCTTCACCTTTCATTTCCTAAACGTTTCTTATTGGTCACTTCTGCTACTAGTGGCAGCTGAAGTGGAAGTTTATCCTCTGATAATCTGTACTGCTTAATGGTTTCCACCATCCTGAGGATATTTTCCAAGTGTTATGGTGACACCAGCTGAGATCTTGGCAACAGAAAAGTGTTTCATATGTTTATTTCCTAAGTTAGTCTTTTGGGGTTTTTTTTTCTGCTTTCCCAACCCTCTGTCACTCCCTTGATTTCTATGGCTCAGCTCCTTTTGTTATTGCTATATTCTTTGTTATCATTTCTCAGTATCTTTCTGATTATAAAGCCTTTGAAGAACCCGAGGGCATTCCCAACATTCATCCAAAAATCTCTTAGTAAAGAGATGAGCAAAAATCTCTGCTAAAAGGAACAACAATAGTTACATCTTATTTATATATTTATCTCTAACTAGAGTCTAGGAACTATAGCACACAAACCTTGTAAAATGATGAGCATGTTTCAAATAGTTTTAATATTAAATATCACACATAAAACAGGTCACCAGTTTTAGCATGTCTCCAAAATAACGTTTGCTTAGAAATGCTTATCCTTGTAGCATCATTATCCTTTCTGTTTTTTTCCAAGAGAAAATTAATCTTGCATCAGCATGCCAAAAAAAGCAAAATTCTCGTATAATTTCAATCACTCAGTTTGCTCATGACTTTTATACAGCTGACTGAACATCTATTATCTCACCCGAAAGAGAAGCTGTGAGTTTGCTCACCTCGGTCACCTGCAGGATTTTTGAAATGCCTCCTCTTCTGTTCCTTCTAAAGAGTGCCTTTCCGCATTTCCCAGTCCATTCCCGAGTCCACTGAACATGCAGACATCAATAAGTTCTGGCTAAGTTATCCCACGTAACTCCGAAGAAAAAAGGAGACCCTTGCAGATGCCGCAGAAGGACTTCTTTACTCTCTTAGAAAATTTTGTTTCCTTGGTGGTCTGTCACATTCAGGTCTCCGGTAGTAAACTGAACAACCTATCCTCCTGGCTCTTCTTTTCTTCTTTTTCTTTTCTGTAAACACATAATCAGGGCTTCAAATCCTTTAGGTATCACAAAACTGTATTTCTCTATTGCCCTCTACTGACTGCTGGGTAACGCCGCCTTCCCGGAGAACTGGCGAGCAACAGATAACACGGTAACGCGTTCCCCCGCCGCCCTCCCTCGGATCGATAATGATGCACGATGACCAAAAGTCAACACAAATCATTCTATTTTTCTCTTTGTTACAGAACACCAGGCAAGATTTACAGCTTCTTGGCCAGCCGTGGTAGCTACAAAACACTAAACAACAGAAGCAGGAAGCAGTAACATGGCTCTGCTAATGTGTTTTTTTTCTTCTTCTTTTTTTGGAGGGGGAACAAAAGCCAGGAGAAAGTACAGATGAATGCATTCTGCCTTGAAATGCAGACGAACTCACCCCATTGATGCCATAAATACTGTACTGGGGATCTGAATGTTATCTGATTTTGAGAGCTTGGTCCTGCCAGCACTGGATGCATAGAAATACTGACTTTTCATGGGAGTTCTGCATGAAGGGGCTGGTAGAGAGCCATGAATTTAAGGCCATGGGTTTTGGTCATTTCTCCTTTGTCTCTAGAGTTCTGTTTAGCACATTCAGCACCACACCTAACATGGGAAACATGTGACCAGATCGGGGACAAGACACATACTGTGTAGGAATGGCACTGGGAGTGGCTGTTGGCACCGCTTTTCGGACAAAGATGATCTATAATGCAAAGAGAATCCAGCAAACTAAGATAAAAAAGGGAATGGTCCAGAGTTGTTTCGGGAGCAAAGGAAAAAAAAATATAAGCATTTCAGCTAGACTGTAACAGACTGAGAAGAAAAAAGCAGTGATGAGTATACAAGGGGGGTGGGGGACAGGGAAGCGGGTGGTGGAGAAATCAAAATTAATCCTTTACATTGTATTAGTCACTGCTTAATAAGTAAAGCACACTGCTTGCTAACCAGGTCACTCAGGCACTTGTTCTCACAAAAAAAAAAAAAAAAAAAAGTTAACCCAGGGTGCTGGTGCAAGTGTTCTGGCCCACCTGCACCACTCCAGGGGCATGAAGAAGTCAGTCAGTCACCTCCAGGCAACAGAATAAATCTCCAGCACACTTCCCTTTTGCTAGGCAGAGGCTGGGAGAGAACATGGAATTATCTTGCTGTACCACTCTTTCTCTGCAACCAACTCTCCTAGGGAGCAAGCATGGTTAAAAAATTATAAAAACAGACCCACCTCTCAAAAAAGTATTGGAATGATTTTTCCTTACTTGTGTTCAAAAAAATACATTCATTTTCCCTCCACCAGTATTAATAACCAGGAATATTTCTTTTGCCAAAAAATCTGTTGACTGATGAACACTGGTTGTGCTTTAAAAAGATATTATACGACATCTCTGCCTTCCACTTAGGAAAGATAGAGTTCATATAAAAACTAGGATCAACAAAGTCCACAACATGGCAACAAAAATTTAATATTGAAAGGTTCATTTAAAAAAATTATTTTCAATTCAAAGGTAAAGTCAGCAGAGGCCCTAATTGTAGCTATTAGGAACATGCCATTAACAAGCCCAGATTTACTGACTGCATTGTAAAGCTCTATTAAAGGAAGCCCTGAAATTCCTTTTTTCCCCATGCTTTTTCTATGTCTAAACCCTTTAGCTATTCCATACTAGAAAATAAGAAATAATTGTATTTATTCAAATTCCTTGATAGAATATCGAAGCCTGATCAGCTGAATACCTCTCCTAAATGCACACCATTATCAACAGATCAAAGAAGAAAAACATCTAGCAAATGAATGGGGCCGAGGACACACATCAAACGGTGAAAAGCTGAGTGTTTGTTTTTAAGGTTTTTGTTTGATTAGGGGTTTTGTTTGTTTGGTTGGTTGGTTGGTTTGGTTTGTTTTTTTTTTTTTTTTAATGGTAGCACATTTGCAGAACGACAAAGCAAAGTGTGCAGTTGCCGAAATTCACAGAAGGGCACCTCAGATAGAGGCGGTCGGGGGGTTAAGTCCAGCACTCCCGAGCATCAGGCGTCACTCTGGAGCTGCTGCTGCAAATCCTTCACGTGACAATTCCTGACAGAGACATCCCTGGGGTTTGGTTTTGTTTGGGTTTTTCCCCCATAGAATCACAGAATCGTTAGGGTTGGAAGGGACCCCAAGGCAGGGTCACCCAGAGCAGGTGACACACAGGAACGCGTCCACGTGGGTTTGGGATGTCTCCCAAACGCGACGTCCCTGGGCAGCCCGTTCCAGAGCTCTGCCACCCTCAACGCAAAGAAGTTCTTCCTCATGTTGTTGTTGTTTTTTTTTTTTTTTTTCCCCTAGGGTGAAAGTTTCCTTCCCTAACGGAAAAACTTTTCACGCCGCTGGAGACACAGGCGGCTCCCGAGCACGCACTCCCCGTTCCGCGCGGTGAGGGCCGGGCCCGGCTCCCGCCCGGACCCTCCGCCCGCCGATCCCCCGGGGCGGCCCGCGGGACCCCGCCGCCGCTCTCAGCGCCGGCCCCGGCCCTTCCCCCGCTCCCGGCCCAGCGACCCGCGGTGCCGCGGGCCCGCCCGAGCCCGGTACCATAGAGCTGCGGCCGCGGGCAGCCGCCGGAGCCCGGCCGAGCGCCGCACATCGGCCGTGCTTCCCTTCCGGCGGGGCGGGCGCTCGGCGCCATGGGGCGGCGGCGGCTGCTGGCGGCGGCGGCGGCGCGGTTAGCGGGAGCCTGCCCGGGACAGGCGCGGTTCCTGCTGTAAGGAGCTGCCGCGCCGGGGGTAGGGGCGGGCGGGCGGACGGGAGAGAGAGCGCGGTGGTGACGCGCGGGGTGTCCCCGCCCGGTGGCGGTGCCGTGACGCTTTCCCTCTCTCTCTCTCTGCCGCAGGTGGACGCTCTGCAGCTCCCGAGGCGAGTGAGGGTCCCCGAGCACACACGGTGGTACCGGGGCCGAAGGAGAGGGGCTTCGGAGCAGGGCGCTCCGGGATCTCCAGCGGAAGGAGGCTCCTGCGGTGGGAGGGCAGCGCAGAGGTTGCCGAGGGGCAGGAGCGTGGGAATGCCGGCTTTCCCTTTTCCACCATTATCCCCCTTCCCTTTGCACTGCCCCCGGAGGGCTGTGCCGCGCTATGCTCCGGGCTGCCGGAGAGCAGGGGCCAGGTGTTCCTCGGCGGTGTAGAGAGAGGGGCTCGGGTCCGGCTCCGGCAGCAGGAGCTGACGAAGCAGATGCGGGAGCCTCTTAATGGATCCGAAAATTATTTCAAAGCATTCCTTTATCACAGGCTGAGGTGTGGTCGTTTTCTCGCACTTCGAATGGGCAAAGAGCTTTACGAGGCTTTGGTGTCCCTGATCTGGCAAGAGCGTGCCTTTAGGGAGCTCCTTGCGGAATTGTGAGCCTCCTTTGTTAAAAGATTTTTAGGCAAGGATTCCATTTTTCAGTAAAATCTGCAGTTACATATTGTGTAAACTTACACCACAAGCATAAACTTACCCTGAGTTGTGCTTGGCTGAGCACATATTGGTGCCCAGCTTCCTGCGACGTCCTAGTTGTATCTTAAACATAAAAACATGTACCTAGGTATTGTTGCAAGTGAAACGTACTGTATGAATCTTTGCTTATAAAAATAATTATTTCATCCTTTTACCTTTATTTATCTGTAGCTAATGAACGTGGATTAGAAAGGATATGTCCTTACTGCTTCCAGTTCCTGGTTCCTGATGGCTACCGGGTGCGTCTCAAACCAAAGATGAAATTGTCTCCGCAGATAGAAAAAATTCTTAAGCGAGAAGCGAAGAACCATAAACTTAACATGAAACAGACAAAGCTTTTGAAAAAGTACAGGGAGTCAAGAAGTGTTCTGGTAAGGACATTTATTTGGGACTGACAGGTACATTACATTTCTCTAAATTTCATGTCCCTATTTCAGTGGCATAAAAAAGAAGATACAGAAACCTTTCTCTCAGAAGAGGAGCCCACACCTACACATTTCTTTTTCATGAGCATATGACTCTGTCTTTTGGAATAATTTCAATTCATAATCAAAATTTTTTAAATCTACCCTCCCCAGTAGATAAATCATGAACAATGACAAGAACAGTAAGATTTCCCTCCAAAAAAACCCCACAACGCCACATTGTCAGAAGCTACACAAACAGCTCTGCCTTCCCTGTGATATCTTTAGCAGCAGTCTGGGTAGGCTCTGCAGATGTCTAAGCTCTTGCTGAAAATTAAGTCATCTTTTCCTGCCAGCAGCTCTGGTATTTCCACTGTCAGCTACTGTATCATTAGCATAGCTTTGCAAAAAATGGCAGAAATAGCAGATTTCTGCCTGTTCTTTTTTTTCCTACAAATGTGGCAGAACTAGGACCAGGCAAGTGTACCAGATGCAGAGTTTTAATACAGCCATGTAGATCCTAAATCCGTTGCTAAGAATACTCCCATACCTAAGAAGCAAAACATGCCATTGACTGAAGTCAGGCTTGTTGTGATAACTTGACATTTACTGCCTTTGCTTCAGTTTTATTAGTTGTTGAGGAAATATATTTTGCACAAGCTGTACTTCATTTATTTCACTAGACTCATGGCTACATCAGATTATTGTTACCTTCTGTATTAATTGATTTTTTTACATTTGTCTGCATATTACTGTTTATGGGAGATCTTTCAAAACTATGGAGGTAATTTCAACAAGCTGATGTTGCTTTGGGGGCTTCAGTTATTTTTCCTAGAAGTACTCAGGAATGTGAGCTTAAATTACTATTTTTTATAGTAACTACTATTTGAAGAATAATAGTATACATTTAATCTAGTGTTGCCAAGGTATGTATTACTTTTAGAGCATGTTATGTGAATGGCTGTTGTAATAAATGAAGCAGCACCCTACTGTGCGCAGCAGTTGCTGGCACACTTGGTATTTTCTTGGATTAGAGTCTTCTGGTTTGGGGAGTAAAATTTGTGAAACCAAAAATTATTAAAGAGTTAATAAAACAAGACTAAACTAAGGAAATATCTCCAAGGTTCTCGGCTGTGAGAGAAAAATAAGATGTTCCATAAATCACTTTCCCCAAATTGTAAATCATAGTTGAGTTTCAGAAAGGATATCTGAAAAGGTTCTTCACCCAGGGGGTGAAGCACTGGAACAGGCTCCCCAGGGAAGTGGTCACAGCACGAAGGCTGACAGAGTTCAAAAAGCATTTGGACAATGCTTTCAGGCACATGGTGTGATTCTTGGGGCTATCTTGTTCAGGGCCAGGGGTTGGACTTTGATGATGCTTGTGGGTGCCTTCCAATTCAGGGTATTCTAAGATTCTGTGAGCTGAAATCTTGGCTTTAGTTTTCTGGGATCACAAACATTAAAGGGTATCTTAAGAACAGTCTCTTTAAGCAACTGATGAACATGAAATTATGATGGGTTCTTAAACTTATTCTGTAGCTGGAGAGGCTTTGTAAGGACGCACCTTGCATTCATATAAGTAGTTTAAAATTCAGTTTCAAAGAGGTCCAGTGTAAACTCTGGGTAATATTTTAATCTTGGTATGTAATTACAGTTTGCTGTACTTTTGTTCTGTTCAGTTTGCATTTGTCCTACGGATTATGGTTTAAGCGTTTCTCATTCTGTAAAATGCTGTCAGCAACTGGCAGCTTTCAAAATTAGCAATGTAGATCCCTGTAATCTTAATACCTGAGACTTGTGAAAATAAAAAGTCAAGTGTGGTTGAAAGTGAGCAAAAATGTGACAGGTTGTACCTCTGATACCTTTCTTAGCAAGCTGAGCTTGATTTTAGTCTATTTTTGCTATGAAAAGGCATATAACATAGGGACTGTTTGGGGGCTTTAAAAATTTTGGAGTTAACTGCGGATCCAGTTCACGAAACAGAAACTTGCTCTGAAATGCTATTATTAATCCAGTAATTCTTGCATTGTAAGGTGGTCACCTCCAGTTATATTCCACAGTGTGCTAAGTCACCACATGATGCTGGGTTTTTTCCCACCTGAATTACATTTAGAAGAACTAAAAAGACATCAATATCTGAGCATCAGAAGTTAATATTATTTCTTTTTTATTTTTTAATTCATTATACTGACAAAATAATATCTAGAGACAGTCAAAATACCTAAGTAACTGGAAAATTTCATTTCGGCATCTCTAAATGCATTTTTTTCCTAAACAATCTGAATTTAGTTAAATTTACACACTTTGAAATGAAGAATGATTTGGTATAAATGTTTTCAAAACTGCTTAGACATTTTTGTGACAGTCTTGTCGAGTATGTTTTTTTAACCAGAAACATCACGTAACTGTTTCTCTGTCAGTGTAATTGTGTGCCTCAGAAAGTTGTCTGGCTGTATTACTCTCGTGTCTCTTAATATAGGTAGTTACCATGGCAGTAACGAATATCAGGAATATCTGACAGTCTCTGTGACTGTCTGACATTATCTGTTCTGATGCACCTCTCAGCTTACTGCGCTGCTGGAAGTTCCCTGCAGCCTAGAAGTAAACAGAGAGAAGAGAAAGTGCCATTTGTTCAGAACATCCTCCTTATTGTAGTATTTTTGCCCTAATGGAAACCCTCATCTTTGTTCACTGAGACTTGATGTTACTGGTTAAACGGATGACAGTTTTTGGGAGTTTGGATCTCAAGACTCCCTGGAAAGTGTCCAATATGATTTTATCAGGGGTACAATATGCTAATGAATTTAGATCATATGGTATGTCATGCTTTTTAGCCAAGTACAAGTACCTCTAATGTACAGGTGTGCTTTTGTATACTCAATGTATCTTGTATGCCCAAGATACCATATATCCAGTTCAGTTACTCTTTCATCTTTCTGTC